GAAGAGGAAAACAGAGAGGTAGAGGGACTTGCCCAGTGTAACACAGCTATAGAACTGGGGCTAGGATTCAGGTTTTCTGGCTTTGGTGGATTGTACCTTCTGCTCCCTGCCCCCATGACTATTTGGAAACACTTTTCTGGTTGGGGCACCCAAGAAAGGGAGTGTGTCAGGGTCACAGGGCAGATGGCCTGGGTGAGGACAAACATGGCTCTGATCTAATCAGACACAAATACAAGAAGGAGCACAGGTCATTGGTCACTTGTCATTGATTTTCACAGGCCAGCCATTTTTGCCTCGGTTACTTGCTGACTGCACCTGGTTTGCCTGGTCATTAGACATTGTTTCATTTTGTTTAAATTATTTTTTGTTTTGTTTTATTCTGTCTGATACTTTGCAGCATCAGTGCATGACTCTGCTCACCGGGATTGCCAGCCTTTGACTCCCTCCAGGCACTTGTGTCCCTTCCTGTCCCTATTGAAGTCCCTCTTCTAAGCCTCATTTTCTCCATCTGTAAAATGGGAATAAATAATGTTCAAACTATCTCTTTCATTGGGCTGTTATTGGGATTAACTGAGATAGTAGATGGGAAAGTGCTTTGGAAGTCCATGCAACGTTAAATTGTAATTATAGGTTCAGAGATAGAGAGCTGGGACATGACCTTAAAAATCACCTTGCTCGACCCCCTCATTTTACACATGAGGAAATAGGGGAGCCTAGAAAGATGGGGTAACTTTTCAAAGTCATCCCAGTGGAAAGTGACAGAATCGGGATGTGAATTCAGGCTCTGTGACTCCACGTGCAAAGCTATTTCCACTTGTTTCCCATGGCTCAGTTGTGGATGCCAAGGGCACTCATTCTTCCATAGGGTCCCTTTATGCACTTGAGTCAGTTGTGGGTAAAACATTTCTGGTTCATCTTCCCCAGGTTTAAATAGTCTTCAAATATTTGAAGACTGCTTTTCTTCTCTAGGCTAAACATCCCCAACTCCTTGAACTGTTCTCCTGGCATGATTTCGAGTGGCCTCATCATCTTAGTTGTCTCCCTTTGGACACCATCCAGCTTGTTCCTTCTAAAACATGGCACCCAGAACAGTGTGTTTCCTAAGCCTATACAATTTTCTTCTCAATGAAACAGATGTTTCTTAATAATTCTCCTCCCCTGGGGCATACATTTTAACCTCCCAAGCCCTCAAGCAAAGAATTATAGAGAGATTCTTTCTGCCAACTACCTCTAGGCTCTAGTCATTCACCATAGGAGGTATCACCCTTCCTTGAATCTCCAAGCACTCAGGGGGATTATTTTCTTCCTTCCTTCCTTATTTCTCTCACTCCCTGTTTCCTATTGCTCCTGCATGCTGCTAGCACTCAAAATAAAGAACTTCCTAATAGTCAGAATGGTCCAAAAGTGGAATAAGTTGTGTATTCTCCACTGGAGATCGTTAAGGAGAAGACAGATGACAATGTCCCAGGGATGTCGTGGAGGGGCCCCCTGCTCTGATAGGACTGGATTAGCTGCTCCCGAAGGCCCCTTCCAACTCTAAAATTCTCCGATTCTCTGCCTCCCAGCGCCTGACACACAGTAGGTACTTAATAAATGTTTATGGGATTGACTCAAACACCATGGTCTACATCAGGGGTTCTTAATCTTTGGCAATCTGGTGAGACCTATGGAATCATTTCACAAAATAATGTTTTTAAATGACTAAAATAAAATATATAGAATTACAAAAGAAGCTAATTATATTGAAATAGTTATCAAAATATTTTAAAAATTAAAGTTCACCACCTCAGATTAAGAACCTGTGTTCTAGGGTCAGCTAGGTGGCGCAGTGGATAGAGCACCAGCCCAGGAGTCAGGAGGACCTGAGTTTAAATCCAGCCTCAGACACACAATATTTCCTAGCTGTGTGACTCTGGGGAAGTCACTTAACCCTAATTGCCTCACCAAAAAAATCCCAAAAAACTTCTGTTCTACATGAAGCTTTTCTTGGTCCCCACAAGTGCTTGAACCCCTCCCTTCCAAATTACCTTGTATTTAACTTCTTATATTTATTTTGCATATTTATATATGGTACCTATTGTCTCCCCCCAATAGAATGTAAACTCCTTGAGAACAGAGATTGTTTCTCTTTTTAATATCTGTATTTCTGGCACCCAGTATAATGTCTGATACTTAGTAGCCAATAATAAATGCTTATTGGTTGAGTCATTCCTCTGAGAGAACCTAAGGCTGTGGTGTAAAAAAAAAATTCCTGAGGGCTGCATATTGACTCAGAATATCACAAATTAACACTATCTATATTGTATTGTGTTTTTATTTTGTTGAAAATTTCTCAATTACATTTTAATCTGGTTCCCTCAGTACTCAGGGATCTAAGCCTGGGGGCCACACATTTGACACTTCTGATCTAAGACATCTCATTCATTCATTCATTTAATAAACATGTATCAAGTACCTCCTAAGTCCCAGGCAGGGCAGCTAGGTAGCAAAATGGATAGAGCATGGGGCCTGGAGTCAAAAAGATTTATCTTCTTGAGTTCAAATCTGGCCTCAGATACTTAGTAGCTGTGTGACCCTGGGCAAGTCACTTAACCCTGTTTTCCTCATCTGTCAAATGAGCTGGAGAAGGAAATAGCAAACCACTCCAGTATCTTTGCCAAGAAAAGCCCAAAATGGGATTATGAAGAGTTGGACACAACTGAAACTGCTGAACAACAACAAAATCCCAGGCACTACACCAAGAGGATACAAAGACGAAACAAAAAACAGTCCTTGCTCTCAAGAAGCTTAGGTTCTACTGGGGTAGAAACATCTTCACAGAGATATATAAATAGGAAATCTATATCAAGCAATACTGGGGAGAGGGGGAAGGACAACAATGGGAAGATGGGGTTGGGAAAGGGCTACCGAAAGAGGTGGCCATTGATTAAGCCTTGAGGGAAGCTTGAGATTCTAAGAATAAGGAGGGAGTAAGTTCAAGGCATGCCAACAGATTGTTGTCTGTCCTTCATTCTCAAAGAAGACCATGACATCAGGAAAGTGATGCTATTACTTGCAAGTGGATTGGAATTAAGTGAGGCAGGGCTGTGCAAAGTCACCAGCCTCACTTTCTCCTCTGGAACCATCTGGTTCCAGTGGCAAGATATAGATCAGGCTGACTGGAGATGGCCCTTATGACCACAGGGCAGTCTATGAAAAGGCATATGGACAGGAGATGGAATCTTGTGTAGGGGAAACAATAAGGAGGCACAAAGTGAAGGGGAATATTGCACAATACTTCTGGAAAGGTAGACTGTAGCAAGATTGCAGAGGGCTTCAGATGGTAAACAAAGGAGTCCGCATCTTACCCTCCCTGAAGGATCTTGAGCAGCTGAGTGATGTCAGTCTTGTGCTTGAAGACTGTTAACTTGGCAACTGTGTGGAGTCATGGTCTTTAGCTCATAGTCAGCCTGAAGTAAAGTCATGATGGAGACAAAATTTGTCATCTATGAGGTCTCCTTACTTGTCCCAAGAGAGGAAGTTTCAGAGAAAGGACAGGGTGTTAGTTGAGGTCAGGGGCCCTGGATATGAATCCCAGCTCAGATACTTCACTAGGTGTGTGACTACAGGCATAGTGAAGAACCTCTCTGAACGTCAAGTTCTTCATCTCAAAAATGAGAATAAGCAATTTCTTCGTGGAAACGTCTTTGTTCTGTAATGGACTGGGCATCAAGAGACCCTGTTCTACCACTTACTGACTCTGTGCTCTTGGGTAAATCACTGCTCTTCTCTGGACTTTACTTTCCTCCTTTGTAAATTTGGGAGAGTAATACCTTCCCTGACTACTTCACATAATCCTTTGTGAGGATAAACAAGAGGATGAATATGAAGTCACCTTGAAATTTACAGATGCTGCTGGACAAATGTACAATGATGCTACTGCTAATTGCAACGACCACCACCAATTCTGCATCTCCTCATGTCAGGCTTTCTGTGCTTTTCACGTGGTGATAATTAGCCTGATTAGTTTAGCAGATGGACTAAAATGCTGATGAGAGGGCTTCCTTCTCCTCTCAAATAATAAATCTCTATTTTCAGTGGCCTTTGAGATGCAATATTCTTATTGTACAGAATTTCATAATGAAGAGAATGTTGGCCTTGGAGTTAAGGCATACCTGGGTTTGAATCTTAGCTCTGACCCCAATTGGCATTGTGATCATAATAAGTTACTTAATGATCCTCAGCCTCAATTTTATTATCTGTAAAATGGGGATATTACTTACATAACCTACCTCACAGGAGTGTTATAAGGAAAATATTATATCACGAAATATTATAGGAATGTGGGGCATCATTATTATATACTCCCAAGAAATAATTCCAGTGTCGCGAATTTCAGGCAAGGTAGGATTGAAGGGGTTGCCAGAATGGGCAGGTGGGACCATGTGGACGGTTCCTTATGCCTCACCATGGAAGCAGCTGGCTCTTCTAACCACTGAGTTATGTGCACAGCAATTCAGGGAGAAGTTGGAAGAGAGCAAAGAAGGAATTGCCTTAAATCCACAGGTTTATACAAAGTCCTGTTTTTTCCCAGTATGTTTAACTTTATGACCTAACCTTGGGCAGTTATTTACCTTCTTCCATCTCCATTTACACAATTCTTGAGCAGGCTGAAGTAAAGTCCTGACCTCTGAGAGTCAAGGCTGTAAGGAGCAGCAGGTCTGCAGCTTTAATCTAGTCTCTCACCTCATCTTACCCTGGGAACCAAATCAAGTCACTGCCCCTCCTTGTCTTTGCTCTCCTCTTCTGGAAAATGAGGACCCCACTTACTCATTTCACTGGGATGCTGTGGGAATGAACTAGTGATCTGGAGAGGGCTGGGAAAGAGAACAATGTTTAATACTTTGGGTGAGTACTTTTTATCCAGCCTGATGAACTGGGCTTCAGGGAGCGCCAGGCTTAATAGAAAGAGAAACTGGGATTGGAGACTGGAGACCTGCTCCTTTTTCAGTATAGTTTTATTCTCTCAATCTGTTGGCCTCGGTTTACACATCTTTGAAATGGGGGGTATTAATTCATGTCTCTTGATTTTTTTAAGGATGTTGTGAAGACAAATAAAGAAAATGTGAGGGACACTTGAGGTGGGAAGGGGGAGGGAGAAGTATCAGACAAATTGAAGTATGACCTTAGATTGTACCCTAGTCACTCAAGTGTATGTGTCCTAGAGGCAATAAAGAGAGAAAGGGTTTATTTATTTGGCTTCAACTTTTCTGTATTCCTGGAAATGAAGCCCAAAGTGAATACCTAACATGTGGCAGTAGGAGGAAAGAGATCAGGAGAATTCATTTTATGGAGGATGACATGTTATCTTTTTGGAAGCTGACATGTGATTTCACTGGTCGCAAGAGAAAAATCTCTTTACCAATGCGGATGGGTACCTGGGCCCCTGCTCTTCTACTTATCATCTTAGAGGAATGTTATTTGGGTCACTGAAAAGTTAAATGATTTGCCCAGGCAGTTCTGTCAGAGGCAGGATTTGAATTCAGGTTTCCCTAATTCTGAGACAAATCTTCTACCCCTCCACACTGCCTGTCATAGGTACATATATATATTTTTAATTTCCTGGGTAATGAATTACTTTTTTCTAGGCTTGATTTTTCATTGGTGTAGAGAAATCACTGTGTAGAAATGATGACCTCCTCCCTCACCTCAGGGTTGATAATGGTTTAAAACTTAGGGACTTTGAGAGTTGTCTGGGAGTTAACTTAATGGTTAATGGACTTGCCCAGTTTTACATTGCTAATATGAATCACAGGTAGAATTTAAACTCAGGTCTTCTTGACTCTATGACCAGTCAGTCCTTTCTCCATCAACCTAAGCTGTGCAGGCTGTCTGTCATTTGATAATGGATGCTTTGGGAAAAAAAAGTCCACTGGAGTGAAGAATTCTTTCTAAGGACCACAAATATGTCAGCTGCTTAGTTCTTAGACTTTCTTCCCTGGAACCTTTCAGGAAGGAGTGCCTGCCTGCCATGAAACTTTATACAGATTAAAAAAATTTTTTTTTAAATTTAGGAGCGAATGTAACTGGTTTCTGCTTCCGGCTGGAGCAGAGGCTCCTGCCAAGATTGGAGGAATGCAGCTGAAATATGTTTTGTATCTTATGAGTCTTGGCTCATCTTGGAATTAAATAGCACTAATTACATGAATATAGACCAGTGAGGGAGACAACTGTTCACTTCCTGATTTTCCCTAGAATTAAAAAGGGAGGGGGAAGGAGGAGAAAAGTAGTGGGGGTTGGTGCAAGAGCTTACCCACCAGACATTAGATGGCAATAGAAACCCTGTCATTGGCCTGAACAAACACCAAAATAGCCTGCTCCCTCCCAGTGCTACTGTTTGGTGGAATGATAGGTTCCTTCCAGCTTAAATCCCCCCTGGGACTGGAAGACTGGGAGCTTGAGGATGATCCCTGGGGTGTAGGGTAGCAGTGGCAAAAGCTGGGGAGGTTTTATAACTGGGGAGGGGGTGTCCAGAGCTCAGGAAGCTGGGGATGGCTTTCAGATTGAGCTCCCAGATTGCTTAGGCACAAACATTCTTCCTTTAGCTTTATGTCCAAACCTACTGATCTTCTTTTCTTTCTTTTTCTTTTGTTGTTAGTAGGAGAAATGTGGTTGGAACTTCACACCAGCCTGAGGGGTAGATTCCATTGCCAGAGAGCAAATGGGCCATGTCCTGCTGGGGTAGAGAATCTCTCTTGGGTTTGAATTAGGCCCTTGGAAGTGGGTGGTAGCAGACAGGATCTTCTTTGAGGGAGGTCTCTTGCTGATCACTTAGTAAGCTGAATCTCCAACATGCTCAGGGGTGCCCTAGAGATCTAGAAGAGAGAGTCAGAGTAGGAAAAAAAAAGCCCTAGATTAATAGTTAGAAAACTCAACCAGGATACTGGTCCTGTCTGCAGTTGACTAGCTGTATGACTGTGAAGAAATCCTTTCACCTCTTTGAACCCTAGTTCCCTGATGTACATAAGGGGGAACTGGGCTAGGAGGTACCTAAGGTCGCTTTGGGCTCTAAAAATTCTGTTGTCATTTTTGAGGTGGGTCGAAACCCTATCTTAGCTAACCTTTACATTGCATGTGGTGATTTTGAATAGCCCATCCCAACCATTTATTTCTTCAACTGAACAGATCTGTTATCCTTCTCTCTCTCTTTTATTATCACTTTAAGCATGTCTAGGAGAGGCAGTGTGGAATAATTAATAATAATAATAACAATAATAATAATAATGATATAATGACTGGCATTTATGCAGCACTTTAAGGTTTGCAAAATGCTTTATAAATATTATCTCATATGATCCTTACAACAACGCTGTAAGGTAGGTGCTATTACTATTCCCATTTTGCAGATGAAGAAACTGATAAAAGTGTTCAATTTGGAGCCAGGAAGACCTTGGTTTAATTCCCACATCTGCCACTTACTACCTATGTGACTAGGCAGGAATCTTAACCTCTCTGGGTTAGTTTTCTCATCTGTTAAATGAGTGTTTTACTTGTCAATCTTTGAGTTCCTTTTGAGTTCTGGAACTATGATCCTGTCTCCTAGAAGTCTTAACTCACCAAACCAAGATCTGGCTCTATTTGTTAATGTGCCCCCATTCCATATGCTACCCGATGACTTCCTATCCATCTTTTAAAGGCCAAATTGAGATGTCACCTCTTTCATGAAGCCTTCTTTGATCTACCACAGTAAATAATGTTTCCCTCCGTCCCAGCATATATTGAAGTCAAATCAACAAATATTTTAAAGTTCTTGATATATGCCAGAAACAAAAAAAAGTCTTTGTTTCCAGGAGCTCAATGGAAGAGACATGTCAACAACTATGTACATAAACAAGATGTATGGAGCATATTGAGAGTAATCTCATTGGCAAGGCACTAGTATCTGGGGGACTAGGAAAGGCTATTTACAGACGGCTTGGGACTGGGGCTAAATCATGAAGGAAGCCAGAGAAGCTAAGAAGTAGATGTGAGGGAAAAGACCATGTCAGGCATGGGGAACAACCAGTGGAAAGGGAAAGAGTTGGGAGATTGAATGTCATGTTAGAAGAGCAGAAAGAAGTTCAGGGTCTCTTATGTTGGAGCTTAGAGTTACCTACAGGGGAATAAAGTATAAGAACATTGGAAATGTGAAGGGCTTTAAAAGCCAAATTGAGGATTTTATATTAGATCTTGGGGATAATAGGGAGCCACTGGGGTTTACTGAGTAGGGAGTTGGGTGACATGGTCAGATCTGTGTTTTAGGAAGATCACTTTTGAAGCTGAATGGAGGATGGATTAAAGAGGAAGAAAACTGGAGGCAGAGATGTCAACCTGGATTGATGGTATTGTAATTGCCCAGGCCCTTTTTGATTAGAGCTTGTACCAGGGTGGCAGCTGTGTCAGAGGGGAGAAGGAACTTAAGAGATGGATGTTGAGAAAGTAGAAAGGACAGGAATTGACAACAGATAGAATATGTCGGGTTAATGAGAATGACAAGTCAAGGGACACCTAGGATAACTGTCTGGGTCACTGCAGGATACTTGGCTTGCATTTCTATTATACACTTCTATATTGTCTTCCACTGTAATTATTTGTGTGTTTTCATGTCCTTCTGCTAGATGGTAGGGATATACTCTAAAATTGTGTGTTTTTCCCCAGTGCCTGTACACAGTAGGCACCTGATGAATATTTGTTGAGTAGAATTGATTCCAGAATGGGCTAATCCTTGTATTACAAAGTTCTTCCTGTGCCCTCATCCCATTTACAAGTAGAGAGACCAAATGCCAAGAAGAATGGATGGGACCACTTTATAGATGACTATGCTGAAGAACCAAAGAAGCAGGCTTTGGAATCCCTGTGTGGCACCCTCTCCCACTGCCAGGTTCCCAACAATTTAGGCTTAAAAGCCAATTAAGTAGAAAAAGAAAAAATCACAGGAGATAAGCTTCTCTCCAGAGTTTTTCGTTTGTTTGTTTTCAAGGGATTACCACCCCTGGGTGTTATAATCATCACAGTTAGGAATATCAGCCTAGCACCTTTTGTATACTTCACTCTGTAATCCTGTGACATTATTCTTGCTCAGCATTCCTGGAAGGCCAGGTGCTTCTCTGTTATTTTCTTCTATCCATCCTAGGAAGGAAGATGATACTCTCCCTTCTTGTCTGTACTCTTCTCACTTCACCAATGGGGAAATTAAGACACCACAAAAGAAGAGCCATCTGGTGGTTTATAGACAGATAAGTGGATAGAAAGCTGTTTCAGAGTCAATAAGACCTGGGTTCAAGTCCCATTTCTGATGCTGTCTGTGTGACCCTGGGCAAGTCACTAATATCTCAGTTTTCTCATCCACAAAATGAGGTTGGCTGTACCTCATGGCCTCTAAGATTCCTCCATTTTTATCTATGACCCTTTAACCTATTGAAGACTGAAAGCCATCCTTGACAAAGACACATGTCACTACCAATGCCTCTCCCTCTCTTCTACCATCCGCCACACAGAAAGTACTACATCACAGCCTTGGGACGTACCTGTCTGTGCCCTTGCCATGAATATGAATTTAGAGGACAGGTCCCACTGCTAGTCTAATTGACGTGTCTGACCCTGAATCCCCAGCAGGACTGTTCCTTTAAAAGAAGCTGGAGAGGATTCTCTGATTTTGCACTCTGACCCCAGGCTTCCATTGATAGTGTTGTGCTTTAAAACCTTCACCAGTCCTGGAGTTAAAAAAAAAAAAGCCATTGCTTAGCGACTCTACTACCCAGAGACAAAAAGTCCCTGGAATATAAAGGGCCATATCAATGCAATAATAAGTTTCATCCTTGGCTCCCTGGGATGGTGCTGGAGTTTTTACTCTGCTCGGTTGGGGACTGAGGGCTTGGCTAGGGGAAGGTAGCCTGACTCCATAGGAGAGCTTCCTTAAGTCCAAAAAGAGAGAAACTGAAGATGGATGGAGGGAGATGGGAAGTGAACAGGGGGAAGAGAGGAAACTGTGGATAGAGCATGTGAGATCTAGCTAGGCTCTGATCTCTGTCTGATCTGCTGACAGAGTACCCCCATACAGACTCCTTCCTTCCCACAGCCAAAAAACCCTGTCCATGGTAATCACGATTTATTAAAAGGAGCCAGGACTAACAGAGAAGGGAGATTAAGTAGCTGAGCTTGGTGCTGAATTTCTCTGGGAGATGGTTGGTTGCTGGGAGGCGGTGGGACTTAGCATCTGTGCCTGGCTCTGGCTTCCCTCCTTTTACTTCATCCTCCCCTCTTGTCTGGCCTCTTCCCCTCCTCCTCCTCCTCTCACATCTCCTGGATTCTTATTGTCGAGAATACTGAAACAGAAGTAGTGGCGGGGGGGAAGTGGATGGAGGAGGGGGATGGAATTGCCTCATATATTGATTAACTCTTCTGTTTGGACTGGTGACATTCTGAATTTGACCTGTGTTCTGACTCTGACCTGATTCCCATGTAATTTTGAACAAGTCAAACTTAGCTTCTTGGGGCCTCTGTATCTTCATCTTTAAAATGGTTAGGGGTGGGGCTGGAGGTTTTAGACTAAATGATGCTTCGGTGCCCTTCCATCTCTAAATCTTATGGTCCTTTGAATAATAGTTTTGAAGCTGCCATCTCTTTACCTTTGTAGGCAAAAGTAATGATAACTACATACCCTCAGGAAGAATTACATCTTGATTTTTGCAGAAGGAATATGAAAGGTCTAGCTAGGCTCTGATCTCTAGCGTGGATGGTCTATAGTGAAAAACCATACTTCCTGATACAGTCCCCATCATGATGAGTGGAACACATTTTACAGAATCTCAGAGTTGTTAGAGATCCAGCCAAACCCTTACTTGAGTGGGAATCTTTCCTATTACACCTCCAACAAGGCATCATCCAGCTTTTTAGGCATCTGGCTGAGGTGGCCAATGTATTTATTTACAAGCTAATCTATACCTATAAAGCAGAGCAAAGCTAATTGGACAGTCCCTGGGATTGAACTTGGCCCCATTGCCACTGCTATAACCAATTAAGCTTTTAGACCACAGATATTGGGAACATAAGCATTTGATTGAAAATTTAAAATAAAATAATTCATGGCCCCAAGCTTTTAGGAACTCAAAATCTAAAGTGACAGGTACAAGAAGTAAAGAAGCTTCTGTGTGTTGAGACCATCATTCTGAATGTTTGGAATCAACCATGGGATGACACTTTTGAATCTTTCATGGCATTAACTAAAGCCTCCTATATAGGAGAGTGATGGAAAATGGTTGAAAATTCCTACTCAGAGAAGTACTAAAAACACAAAATTGGTTCTATTGAGCCAGAATCTTTGGCCAAGATACAAGATACTCAGCCAAGGGACCGTAAGCAGGCATGGCATATAGATTAGAAGTAGGAGGTTGATACCAGGAGCCGAGTTCGAGGAGCAAACAAAGACACAAAGCATGGTCTTGGGCTGAAGCTAAAGGAAGTATATGTTTTGCACAGAATTTACATAATTTGTAGCATTCAAGTTTTTTGAGGCCCATCCATTACTTTGATGGATCACTGTTTCCTTCTACCTCCCCTAGTTGGTTATCTTAGGCACAACATTACAAAGACCATTGAGCCCAACTTCATTTTACAGACGATGAAACTGAGGAAACTGACTTGCTCAAGTTTCACACATTTAGTAAGTGGCAAAGACAACAGAGATAGATAGACCCTTGCTACAGAATTGCTCTCTAAAGAAATGGCTGTCTTTAAGCAGTTTATAACAAGGTTTTAACAGGGCTAGGGATTGCGGTGGTCAATTACAAAAAGTTCTTGCCCATTTTGTTCTCTGAGGACCAATTTAAATTCTGTT